GTGGAATATGTTACTGTGTGGAATGGCCGCAGGACGGCGTGGGTGTTTTGGAGATTGAGCACTGCTCATGGATCGTGTAATGGAGACCAGTTCGTATGGAACGCCGATTTCCTCGGCAATCCAGTGGAGACAGTAGACCGAACCTCGGCGGCCTGTGTCGGATGTTCTCGCCTCGGACGAGGGGTGGGCGTCGCTGACGTACTGGAATACGAGAGCTTGGTGGGCGTTCTTGCTGACAATGCGGCGTCAATAACGGACATCTTGATGGGTGGTGGGGCCCGACTACTAGCAGCAGAAATGCTGGATTTCGTGCTGGCGGTTGAACCGGTGAGGGACGGAATGGCAGAACGGGAGGTTGATGCGCTAGCGGCGCTTCGCATTGAAGTAATTGACGGCATGTTATGGAGCGATGGACGAGAAGACGAAGAGACGTCCCGCTTGCGCAGTGAGGAACCTCCATCGCTCTTGTATGAGTCGATTAGGTTGGGGTCACTCTTGAAGGAAGTCGGTGGACCCGGTACGCGGGTGGATCGAGATGGCGTTTTGGACGATGGCGTCCTCGAAGATGGCACACCCTTCGCGGTATTCACCGAAGTAGAAGAAGACAGGGCACCGTTCATGCTGGCATACGTCGAACCACCAGACACGCTACTTGTGTTGCTGTTCGTCCTTGTCCTCGGTTTTGAACTAGGCGGTGGAGGAAGAGGGGCTGTTGCTGCGCTCATCTGCGAATCGTTCGATGGCACCCTCCGAATGCCTTTTGGGGTTGGCATACGACTAGGCCCCGGACCGATACCGGAAGCAGTGAGCGGTAGAGCAGGCAGCGGTTTGTTCTTCACTTGGTGTAGCCCCGGAGGAAGAAACGGGGATGAGGCAAGGGGTGACGTCGTCGGAGTCGGAAGCGATGTAGATGTAGTCGTAGACGTGCTGTATGTAGAACTTCGCCGGGACAGGGCCATCCCTGAACGACGACGGGGCATGGGAGGTAGAGGAGGCTGGAGTTGCTGTCAGCATACAATTGCTTGACATTGAAGAAATGAGTGACGCACATCGCCAGGCAGGCTGTCGTCACTATCATCCGAATCACTCCATCCCAGCCCCGTCGTCAGTCCAACACCCTGCCTCAGCTTCTTCTTGTCACGATGTTTCCTCCTCCTTTCCTGCTCCACTTCATTCGGTCTGAGACCTAGCGCGGAACTCATGGGCTTGAGTGCACCACTCCTCAACATGAGCACCGGCAGGGGAGTGTCTAATCCCAAAGAGGAAGTGGATGAATCAGACACGTGACCCTGATCTTCCCCTTGCTGGGACGCTAGTTTCTCAACCGCGACCTGAATCGCGTTCTGGACGCGGTCCTCGTGCGGTGATGGACGGCATGTTGACGTGCTATTGGATGACCGGAATGATGCCTTTGATACGCTCCGTGTCCCGGAAGAGCGAGCTGACGACAGAGTCTTTGACGAAGCTCTTCTCGTTGGTTTCGGAGTTTTTGCAAGAATCGCGGCTATGTCAGGCGACGAGGCTCGCGAACCGGCATTTTCTGGCGTTGAAGATCGCAATACAGGCGTGGAATCCGGAGTTGCCAGAGTAAGTTCCGGTCGGATAGGCTTTGAAGGCTGTGAGGGTGTTGTCCGAGCGGCTGAGAGAGGTATATGCGGTCTGGCAGAGGGAGCTGGCATCGGGTGTCGTGAAGATAACTCTTCGTGCTTTGGACGAGCTGACAGTTCAGGTGGATAGCGGGATGAAGACTCATTGGAGGAACGCGGCGTTGCCTCTGACATTTGAGGACGCGGTGACGGCTCCGGAAGCGTTGCTCGGGTCGAGGTTGATTTTGTCATGTAAGGAAGACTTGATTTGTCGTCATCGACCGGTGAGAACGCTTCTCTGGCACGCGACCCCGTTGATTTTGAAAGAGTTGAAGGTGCGGATCTGGGCAACATGAGTGGTTTCAATCCTGATCTTGGCGTTTGAAGCGGCGGCACAATGGGTGTCGTCGCCGGCGAAGGCAGGGCAGACAAAGGCGGAATCTTGCTTTTCACCTCGCCTTTTTCTTTTTCCGTCTCACTCTCATGTTCACTCTCCTCGAGAATGGTAGAAAAGCCTCCCGTGAGTAGCTTTGCCGTAGGTGGGGCTGAGTTTGGGGGAACAGGCCACGGACCACCCAACAACTGCTCGAGTTCAAACTCTGTTTCTGCCTCATCGTCCAACAACCTCGACATCTCCGAAGTAGGATACAAGACCGAGGGGGGCGATGGTGGTCGAAGTGACGCGAGGGAATTGCGTGCGGAGACTGCGGAAGCGCGTTTCTGTCTGCGATGCATGTGTGGGATAGACTGTCGGAAGAGGATGCTGACATCCTCTGAGGTGAGGGAGGAAGGTGTTGTGGGGAGGGGAGGGAGGGGTACGCTAGGTGGTGGGAAGAGGGGTGTGGATGGTGAGGGCATTGTCGATGTGGAAGATGAAGTGGAGAGGGTTGAAGAGGATGAGGGGAGGATTAAGCTTGGAGGCTTGAGTGAACGGTGCATTGGTGATAAGTGAGTTACTTCCATCGTTGTCGACGCGTTGAAAGGTGCTGAGGATGTGGTCGAGTGACGTGGAGAGAAGAGAAGGAGGGGGAGAGAAGGGAGGGGAGGAGGGAGGCGTCGGGGATGAGAAGGCGGGGGGGTTGGATGGTGTCGAGGGCAAGGTGTATGCGCCCCGTTCTCCCTTTCAGGTTGCGGTGATGTGTGCCCGAGTGATAGGAAGAGGGAGGGGGTGAAAGAACGGTGACCGAATGAGAGTGTCTTGGATGAGCGATCCCTTCAAAGGGCGAGAACTATGCTCGATTAGGCTTGTGTCTCGGGGTTGCCGCTTCTCTCTCCCTCTTTCCCTCTCTTTTTCGTCCATTCCGTTCCCATATCCAATCGGGTGCAACAATCCCTCTCGACCCTTTCTTCAACTGCACACGCCCCCTTCACTTCCTTCTTCTTCCATTCCCGTCACGACCCTGACATATTATACATCATTCTCAATATCTTACTTTCTTACTTTGTCATGGTAATACACCCGCCCAAGGAATCCTGTCTTGCGCCTACAAACAATTCTAGTGTGCAACAGCAAGCGGCAGTGCCCCGTTTTCTGCATCCACTCACCCATCTCGTAAGGACTCTGTTTTCAGTACAGTTTCTCTCTATCGAATCTGCCCAGCCCAGACTGTCCCACGAGGCGCACGTCCTTCTTCACCATCTTGGCTGCCTTCTCTTTCACCCCATCGCTCACGCCATGCGCTCTCACACCTATTTTCTCATCGTTTTGCCGACTTCTCACCCGGAGACATCTCTGAATGCTGGCACACGTGTTCCAGCCTTGCTGCAGCGGTAAGACGCTCGACCATGTCTAGTACTGCTGCCACATATCCGGACTCAATTCTATCCTCTTCTAGTCACTTGGTATGCAATAATATCTCACAATATCCATATGCAAACTTCCCCTAACCCCGCGGTCAGCGAGCCCTTAGCGTGATCCCGAGATTTTAGCTTACCGCCCTGGTGGATAAGGAATGCTTCATCGATACTGATCGCAACAGGAACAGGAAACACCCCGAGCGTTTCCCACATATAAAGGAGGCCTGGTTTTTTTGGCGCTCTGATGCTGAGGATCTGTCGAAACCTTGGTCCCCAAGATCGTAGCTTCTTCCCTGATTCCTCTGCAGGCTGTCGCTTTCTTGCTTTTCGCGCCGCACCTCTTGCCTGTCTCGTCCCTTGATCGGGTTTTCTCCTTGACAACCTTTCACAACGTCGCGTGGTGCACGGTCCCTTCGAGTCGGCGACTATCCCAGTAGCGTCAAACTTGCTCCATTGGACGTCCTGCAATTCGAGTTGATTGATTTCAATTCCACCTGCCGCCCTGGTCCTGGCTCAGGGGTCAAGTGCACCGGCGGCAGCGGAGATGTTTACCGGTCTGGCCCAAGCCAGTAGAGTGCCGAAGCACAATGGATCGACTCTGTATGGCCGTATACCCCCCCAAACAGCGCTAGAAAACACCATTTATACCATTTCTCCTTCGATGAACATTGCATATCACGTACGCGGAAAGTGTCTCGGCCCCGCTGACCGGGCCGATTGACATCAAGAACTATCGTTACTCAAGTGGTGGCACCATCGTACCCTTCCTTCGGGCCTTCGGAGAAGCAGTTTGGCCGCCATTGTCCCGGAGCCTTCTGATCCAAGCAGTTAGCGCTGTCAAGATAGGTGCAGTACACTTGCATACGCTGATTGTCACATTCGTCGAATTGGGATCAGCATCGAGATTTTCTGGTTCAGACATGGAAGTTGTGATCATGTTTCACGTCCGGAGAAGCGGAGAGCAACAGGGATCCGACGGAGGAGCCTGCGGAACCGATGGTCTCTTTGATAGAGCTCTGGCTTTCGGAAGCGAGTAGGCGCTCTTGAGAGAGGGAGCCACAACACGATGAGTTCAAGTTAAGAAAGGATACGAAGAAACAATGGATGCTATTGCGTATTAAACACGTGCATATGCAATAGTATAAGCAGCCTCGGCAGAGATGTCGGACGGGAAGCGGAAATCAACAGTTCCGATAAACCATGAAAAGCTCATGCGGCTTTATTCCACATGTCAGATCATGAATACTTATAAAGAGTGAATAGAGGACAGTCGGTTTTTTCTAACACAACAGAAGGGACCGTGGCGCTTCGGATGTGGGGATGATAATTGCCGCAGTCGTATAAATTGTGGCCGGGTTAGGGTGGAAGCTGCTGCGCGTCGCCTTAGGAGGCACGACTCCCGACCACCTACGACAGGTAAATGATACTGAGCCTGTAGCCAGATAACGCAGTTCCCTGATAGTAAAGAACAACTTGAATTCCCTGTCGAAAAGCTGCGTAGTCAACTGCGGCGTGGGCGGAGAAGCGCCGAACGTTCGCCACTTCGGGTTTCCGTGCTCGGCGCGTATTATCCCCAAGCCGTGGTGTAACATGACGTGGACTACCCTCTCCTCCCCCTCACTCTCGAGTCATCCTCACAGCCAACATGATCATAAAGGATACTGACGACAAGGGCGAGGTCAAGACGGAGAAGCCGTTGCCTGCGTCGCCTGACTCGGTGTCGTCATCGTCGGAGGATGGTCTCCCCAGTTATTACGAGGCCCAGAGGAACCAGGCGGGTCCCTCAAACCCAAGGCGCCAACGGCCGTCACCAGCTCCCATCACCACAAAACCACGGACGGTGTCGACGTTCTCGTCCCTCTCTGTGTCGACAAGGAAGAATCTAGCGGATAAACTCGCATATCTGACGACTCGGACCCCGACGACCCCGTCGAAATCGAGCTGGGTTCCTGGGTTTGTAAGGAAACGGTCCGAGGCGAAACAACAGGCGCAGATCGATGAACAGGTCAAGGAGACGGTGCTCACGCTAGTACGTGGACTATGCTCTGAATCAATGCCCTGTGCTGAGATGCTGCAGATAAGAGATGTGGTTAGAGATGTCCAACAACCCGATTGCATCGACATCCTTAATCGATGCGTCGCAGCATGTCAGATGCGAGCTCTTATGTTCCCGGAGCTCGCACAATTGAAAATCATCGAAGATCATACTGCGCTGTATTGGGCCATCGTCAGCGGTACTCCAACAACTGCCAGCACCCTGCCAACTTTGATACATCCTGTCGTGAACCTGCTTATCTCCTTCCCTCTGCAGCAACATACCCGGATCGATGCACGACAGGCTTGCACGGTTAACAGTGACAATCGCCTCTTCCAACAGCTGCGTCAGTCGCCAGGGTATTCAACTATCGTCACATATGCGAACGAGGTGATTTCCGCCGGTGGAGATCGGTTAGAGACAGTTGAGGTCAACCATATGAATCTCGATGCTGTTGGACAGTTCGCAATCAGCTTTTCGATACAGAATTGGATTCGAAAGATGCGGGCTGCCAAGCACGTGCCGCTTGAGTTTATCGCTCGAGGTGAGAAAGTTCACAGTCGAGTCATACTAAGCTGACCGAGCTTTGCAGGGCGGACGTGGGGCCTCACCTTCCGAGTTGCAGAAGAACATACCCATGGCTTCCGAAGCGGACAGTGGTACGGCGAACTGAAACTGTTGGATAACTCTCCTCCAACTTGGGTGACTGGTCGTCTTCGCATAATGCCACAAGATGTTTCTTTCACCCGTAAAGGGCCGCTGGATATCACATTCCATACAGAAGGACAGCGGCTGGACAATAGGTGGGCCCTACAATTCAAGTTGAAAGGTCCGAAAGGAGAGCTCGTCGAGTTCGAGTAAGCGCCTTACTTTGAAAATTATGGTTATTTTCTCACGGATCATGCGCAGTGATTCCCCATACCTTACGCAAGACGGCACCATGCATGTCCAGGGTGAATTCAAGCTGGACAAGACGCATGCGGACTGCGTCATTATGTGATTCTACGTGTTCAGTCTATCTGTTTTTGTCCAATCTGTGTGTGGCGCGTTGTTGGTACTTTGTCATATACCTTCCTTTGGGAACGATAGCTTCACATTCCATTGTATCATCATTTTGCCCATGATTTTGTCCAACCCAGTCCAAATGCACTGCCCCCCTAACCTGACTAGACCTGTGTTGAGGCGCAGTGCCGAGAGGGCGCGGAGTCTCCCGTTCACTCAATGATTCTCTGTCAAGCTCATAAACAACCACATTACTTGCCTGTACTGTTTCTTAACTAAGAATATCTCATGGACAACAGCGACAGCCCTCCTCCTGATTATGCCGAAGCGGTAGGCTCTTCAAGCCGAGCGGGCCCCAGTACCAGACCAACCAGCCAGCCGCCGCTGACTCCACGAACGCCGGCTTCTACGTCCTATGGCTTTCCAGACGAAAAGCGTTCCCCATACTCACCTCAAGCACAACAGCATCACCAGTCAGCGATCATAGGCTCACACCCGTCGCCCTCACGGTCCTCAGGCTGGATCCCGGATCTTTGGGCCTGGCGAACCGAGGCCAAGACAGACAGTGAGGTGAAGAAGACAGTTCAGTCTCTTGTGAGTTTGAATTGTTGTTTATATCTCTTGTGCCACTCATTGCTACTACAGATCCAGGACGTCATCACAGATCCATCCCGTGCCGATACATTGCCAATCCTTCAGAGCTGCCTAGCAGCCTGCAGAGCACGGAATGTCTCGTTCGAGGATCTGGTACAGCGGCTGTACATCTCCGGTCATACTCCTCTATACTGGGCGATCCTTGGTTCGCGGAAAGCACATCCTGAGGGCTTGAGCATTGACGGGGCTCAAAGTGTATTGGATCTCCTGGTCTCTTTTCCACTCAATGACCGTACGACCCTGGACGCCTGTCACGCTTGCATGACGAACAGCGATAATGCTCTATTCCAGCGTCTACGTCTTTCCCCAGGGTTCGCTAGGACCACTTTTGCGGATAGTGTTATTACAGGAGGACAAGCCAACGAACCTGTATACGTGGAGCATGTCCCCAACGCTGGTGCTGGGGAATTCACCATCTCGTGCACGATCTCTAACTGGATCTCCCGAATGAGGGTTGCCAAAGGCGTGAGTGTTGATTTCATTGCCAGAGGTGAGTAAGAACTGCTGTGTGAATGAAATATTGTGCTCAGTCATCACAGGCCGTGGGTGGAGGCTGCAATTCACAGTCGCAACAGAGTATGACGTCGTCAATAATATCCAGCCGGGGACATGGTGTGCTGTCCTTCGCCTATTGAAAGGCAGCGCACCGACTCTGGTTTCTGCGAAGATTATGATCCCAGCCGTCACTCAAAGCTCTCAAGGCGGCACCATGGAACCCATCGAAATTCCGTTTCGAACCACGCGGAGGGGAAAACTGAGTGCACAAGACCATTCAGATCTTGAATGCGTCGACAAGATTGTAACACGGCTTGATTCCTTGCCCCACGGATCCAGTCTCGAATTTGAGTGAGCTAACGTCGTGCTGTTGTTCAAGGTCGCAGCTTAGACAATTTCAACAGGGATTCACCTTTTGTTACCCGAGATGGTCGGATCATTATCAAAGGCCAGTTTATACTAGAGTACACGGGCATGCCGGATTGTATCATTATGTGAAGAGGGAGACAACAACCAGAGACCACGTATCATGTATTCTATTTCCTGTATTCTTGTAACTTCACCATCGCTACTGTTCTTAAAGGAAGCATGTCCTGGAGTAGTTAGTGCAGTGTTGTCGAAATTGAGGATGTTCTACCGGTGGCGCGGAAGAAGCTCACATTTCAGGGTTGCTGATAAGGGTACGCATGTGTGGGGGAATAGGGATTGGGACCTCCTGAGTGTCAACGGTCATGTCGCCATCCGAGCAAGACGCTACGACTTCAAACGAGCGCTATGTCGCCGACATCTCCAAGGCAGAACAAGGCTATGGCGATGATTCTGATGAACACGATATCTCGAACGAAGTCGAAACCCTCTTGTCCAAAGCCGACCTCGAAGTCGTCGAGGACAGACCGCCTGCATACGCGACCCCGGAACGCCGATGGCCTGCCTGCGTACGATGGACAGGACTGATGTGTGCCGCACTCTTGGGATTTTGTGCACTATCCTACGGAATCATAGCGTTCAGTATCATGCAGGCCGAAGACTATCAACCCGAGCGAGTTGTGTTTCGACCTGCTGCACCTTACGCGGGGTCTACGCTTGCCCCCGCCAGACCAATCATCCACCCGTCGAACGCAATAACCTCTCTGTTTCCAGCAAAGAATGGACCAGCGGGACCGACGCCGACTGGTGCTGAGGCTGGAATGATTCAAACTGCGTCGTCGTATCCAATGAAGGACCACCCTGATATCCTCATGGGCCCCAAACCTGCGTCTGATGACTTCGACATCTTCAAGCATTGGGGAAATCTCTCTCCTTGGTATTCTGTGCCATCATTTGGGTTGGATTCATCTCCGTTGGTGCCGGATGGATGTCGTGTAACAATGCTGAACATCCTTCATCGTCATGGGGCCCGATATCCAAGTGTGTCCCTTTGACACTCAGCAAGTCGTCTGCTCATACATGTGCAGCTTCTTCCGGGGAGGGCGTTGGTCCTGCCGGCTTCGCGACTCGATTGCATAATGCTCTTACTTCCGGGAAGACGTGGTCAGCAGGTGGAGACCTAGACTTCTTGAATGACTGGGTCTGGATGCTGGGAGCGGACGTCTTGACGCCATTCGGCCGCGAACAAATGTGTACGTCCCTGGTCATTATATCTTCAAGAACCGTCCTCTTACAAGCTGATCAGATAAACTTGGTGTTGACCTGCGCATCAAATACGGGTTCTTGCTCAATGTATGTGCCCCATTTGTGTAATCGCAGAGCGAATGCTGAAGGTGGTCTTTAGAATTTCACTGTGAGTCAGACCTTGCCAGTGTTCCGTACCGAGTCGCAGTGAGTTCAATTCAGAACAAGCCTTGGGTACGACACTGAAGTCCACTTGCAGGGATCGCATGCGTTCGTCGTCTGAGAACTTCGCCCTGGGCTTTTTCGGGGAGCGAGCCAAGGATCAATATTTGGCTAGCATTACGGTAGAAGCCAGTGGCTTCAACAACACTCTGTCTCCCTACTACACGTGCCATAACTCGTTCGACTGGAACAAGTCATACAGGCAGACTCCTTACATGAAGATATGGTTACCAACGTATCTAAAGGACACATTACCGAGGATCCAGAGCATGCTTGAAGGCTTCGAACTATCTTATGACGATATCTTCACAATGCAGACGGTGCTCTTGATCTCTTGATGTCGTGGCGTGTTCATACTGACTTCGAACTAGATCTGTGCGTATGAGACTGTTGCTCTTGGATACTCAGCCTTCTGCGGTTTGTTCACACAAGAAGAATGGGAAGGCTTCGAGTATGCATGGGACATCTACTTCTGGTACGACTCTGGCTGGGGATCCCCGGTAGCCCGTGGCCTGGGCCTTGGCTACGTGAAGGAACTCGTTGCACGCTTGACCAATACACCAATCGCTGTGCACGACTCAACGACCAACAGCACACTGGATGATAACCCTATTACGTTCCCTCTTGGTAGCAGTCTCTACGTAGACGCAACCCACGAGACCGTTGTCCTAAACAGTATGTGTGTTGCTTGATCTGTAAGATGATAGCCTGATGATCCCTTACCCAGTCCTCACTGCTCTGAATCTTTCCTCTTTCGCAGCAGCAGGACCGCCTCCGGCAGATCACATTCCTGAGAAGCGTTCGTTCATAGCCTCGCAAGTAGTGCCATTTGGAACCAATGTCCAGTTCCAAGTTTTATCTTGCGCCGCGACGCCAGATCCTCAGATTCGCATCATTCTCAATGATGGTGTCGTTCCGTTGGAGGGTCTTGGGGACTGCCCATATCAACAGGATGGTATGTGCGCGGTGCACACCTTCGTGGCCGCCGAGCAGAAAATCCTGCACGAGCACGACTGGTCCTGGTCCTGCACAGGGAACTGGACCATTCCTCCTGGAATGGATTGGCAGACTACCACTGGGGATTGTCCTCCCCGGCACGCATAGGTCGTGGATGGACTGGGTATTAGAGCTTTAGCATCGTACATTATTATACCATCGCCATATGTAATCCATTCAATCCTGCCGCTCCAAGAAAGCTGTCCCTCGGAGTCGCAGCTTGTTCATCAAGTTCTCGTACCACTTCTGGATTATGCCAATCTGAACGGTGTTGGTGGGGTTGAGGGTGTTGTCGTGAGTGAAAGATGTGAGGTAATTGGACAGGTTCTTCAAGATGAGTTCGGTAAGATAGACAGGGTCGGACGCTGTCTGCGCTTGAGGGGGCATCTGTGGTCGTACAGGGACGAGAGACTTTGAAGTGGACACATTGGAGAGAGATGCGACCTGCTGCTGGACCTGGTCGAGAGGCTCGATAGACAGGCCTATTTGAGCCATGTCACCAGCAGACGAGTTGCTCGTCGCAGACACGCCGGTCTCGTCGTCCATACCCATGTCGGTATCCGTCGCACTCGACTGTCCAGGGAGGATCCCTCTCAAGCGGAATATAGCGGAGGGCTTCTGGTTTGATAGCCTGTGACTGGGGTCAGTCCTAGATCGATGCTGCAGGGTTGGTGGGAGTGCTCACATCCCCAGCAGCTGGAATCCTCTCCCTGGCCAATTCCAATGTACAGTCGCGCCCCACCCATCCGGAAAAGGCGCTATACTCCAACTCCATTCAGCAAACGGCAATGGTGTGAATCGCATGGCGACGTACTCTGGCCCGTTAGGAAGACGCAGACGTGGTTGACGGTCGACGCGGAGGGGATATTGAATACACTGTGGGTACTGTCCATCTGTACAAGGTCGGTTTGCACCAGTCGGCCGGCGACGCAGCAGCCGAACATTGTGGGGATCGAAATGGGTAAAGAGAGAGGCTCAAGAGATGCGGCCACAGCGCTGTTAGAGAGGGCGGGTTAATGTAGCGACATCGCCTCTAATGTCCACCCTCATCTCTACACGCGTCGAGCACTTTCTGGCACACCACACCGCGTGGGGAACACATAACACGAAACGTAGCATTTTTGTTATCAAACTTGGTACAGTAATCCTCCTCGAACGGAGATGGTCTATCGATTCTAAGAGTCGTGATAAAGCAGCATGTAGACTGGGTACATGTTACGTAGGTCATACAATATACGGAGCCAGTCCGTGGTCATAAATCTTCCAATTTCCGTCCTCCACAGTCCACATCATACTAAGCCAGTTGCAATGCGTAGTAACCATATCATAGCTCCGCTCAGAACAGGGAGGGTGAGGTTGTCGTCCAATCCTCCGATATCTGATAGGTGGGTTAGGATACTAAACATCGGAAATTAGGTGAGTGACTTGCCGACAGCTTCTGCTATTCCAGCGATGAACGCCACCACTACGCATCCCCACGTGTGGCCGAACATGCCCCAAGAAATACAAGCCCCCACAATTCCTCCAGCGAGCGTACCGCCCAGGCTCTTCGTCCGTGCAATGGGTATGTATCCGAACAGAGGATTGGGAAGTTTGGGGCTGTATGGAGATAAACGGCGAGAAGAACTGATAAGGCGTCCAACGATCGAGGCAGCGGTGTCACACCAGGCGAGGCTGAGTCCCAATTAGCAACATTCGGTAAGTGAGAATGACGCAACATACATCATTATACTCGCCACGGCGATATCTCTTGGGTAGCAATACAGGCATATTATTGCTCCCAAACAGTACCACACTGTGCCGTTTATCTTCGTCTTCTCGCTTTCCCGCATGAACTTGCCCAGATGCTTCTCCCATTCTGCTCGTATGCTGGGAACCTCGAAGCGAAGGAAGTCGCCTATCAGGATGAAACACATGAGGATGAACACTCCGGCTATGATGGGTGTAAGAGATTGCTCTTCGGGCCAGAACATGTATAGGGCGAGAGTGAGAAGACCTGCAGAGGAGTGCATCGTCTTGCGAGGGATTTCGAGGTTGAGCTTGCTCCAGGCGGCGAATGTTAGGGAATTAGCACGTTTTCGCATCGGTCTTCGTTGGGCCTTGCTGGATGGCTTCTGGGGACCTTCCACTACTGGTGCTGTCGGTGCTTCCGTCAATGTTGGATTTTCCTCCTCAAGATGCACTGCAACTCCATTCGGAACACTTGTTCCATTGGCAGTCTTCGACTTTGATTTTGACCTCCTGTGTCCGTTCGCAGTCCTCGTAGTTCCTCCCATTGTACCAGTCCCTCCTAGAGATGATGCCGAAGCCTGTCTGAGCAAAGCAGGCCTTGACCGCCTGCGCGGACTCTGTGCCCGACCGGTGCCCGGGGTCGAACGGTTGTCGAGTGACGTCGGACGACGAGTACGGAGATTGTAAGATGTTGAAGGTAGTGGTGATTTTGAGAGGGTTGGTGGCATGAAATAAGAGGTCTTGTGCGCTGATTAGGAGCACGGCGTGATGCGTCAGGAGGAGAAAGAGAAAAGAGACTAAAATGGGTATGCCAATAGCGTTGTGTGTGGCGGTGCAGAAGAAGCCACGAAAAGGGGGGCACAGAATACTTCCGCTATATGGGATGACTACATTCACTGTGTTTCAGCCCTATCTTGCCTAGGCTAGGGTAGGCAGATGCAAGAGGCCTTGCCATACCTGGCCTGATCCCTGATCAAGGCCATCTGTGCTGGGGGCTAGGTTAGGCCTTCTCAGGATACATATATTATCCTTCCCTGTCATAATTTAGATTAGATTACATATGATCATGAGATCTATTCTTTCACTGTCTTACCCAGGCTGTGACTAGCTCATCCATCCGTGTTCGCTAGGCTAGGTTCAACCAGCTCACCTCTCTGCATGTCAGTGCACTGCCTGTTACCACCCCTGGCCACCCATTTCACCCTAGGAGCAATGAAACAACAAGCCCCTGGAACTTCCTGTGCTGATAACTGCATTAGGATGCTGGCAGTGGCCATACAACACATTGTGCAGAGGACACCACAAGACTGCTGTGTCCAGACACTTGGGGTGAGACATAGTGGTGCTAAAGGCCCTGTTAGGGCAACACAGGCTGACTAAGTCT